CTACTATCTCCTAGCCGACGTCATAGGTGTATATTCCCTTCGTTTAACAATAACACGGGAACTGTTTGAGCTATTGAAATCACAAACCTCAAATTTGTATTGGGTACCAAAAAAAGGTAAGATTACGTTGGGAATATTTATTTGTAGCGATTATTTTAAAAGTCGAAATATTTACATATCTGTGTCGCGTCGCGTGGCGTGTCTGATCGTTTCAGACTGTTCGCGTTACGACTTATTACCCGCCAAACTAATCTTGGGTAACTAGTTAAATCTACCTTGCTCGAACGTTAGCAAAACGTAGAGTGCGTCACGAACGATTGACGACTTTGTGTCTAAGACTCGATTTGGACTTGAAACGGCTGGAGAGATTGTCTTGTTCGCACGAGTGACTGTTTGCGAATTGACTCTCGAGTCCCGAATTTTTCTGGAGTCCGCCGTGACTCCCCCGCCAAGTGCAAGAAGGCACGCTGATTGGTTTTTCACGTACGCACAAATTACCAATCAACGTGCCCTTCCATTGCGCCCTTAGCGCGCTTTTCCTTGGAAGGAGTGGGGCCCTACCTGCGGGTGCGTGGAATCTTCGCTGTCCTTCGGTGACGCGTCGGAAATTCCCGCCAGGTCAACCCTCGGCCGAAAGTGCCGTTATACGCACGTGTGGATTGACCCTTCAGGAGTACCTGGTTTATGACACGTCTTCGGTTATTGAGGACGCGGAAAAGTCGAAATTCTAAAGGCATTGTTCTGTAAGAAATTACTTATTTTTTCGCGGAGCTACGAAGCGTCTTTGTTCTCAAAAATAACCTTCTCGTGCGAGCGTGCCATAAACCCGGTCAACGAAGACCCCATGCGTTCCGTACCTGCGCGACGGAACAACGCACGCGTCAGAGACGACGCATTTAGCGGCGTAGGCCTCTTGTAAAAGGATATCGTATCGCCAACGAGCGGAACCTTAGAACCTGTCGTTGGGGAATAAGTTCGGTGGCCACGTAGAAACTAGTGGCAAAGGACCCGACGTCCTGTTGCCGAACATAAAGAGGACGCGTGCACGGGGCCAGTAGCCCGACGTCACTGATGCTTCGTAGCGCGTACAGAGATAAGGATTCGAAAAAAAGGATCTCGCCACGAAGTGGGGAGAGTCTTGGGACTCTCCGGGAAGAGGACTGTGTCAAAAGGCACGGCTCACGGCACTTACCCGAGAACCTTCGGTGTAAGAAGAATTGGAACAATTTCTAACATGTTATATCGTAATCTTCATTTCATCTATTTTAATGTGAAATATTCGAGATCGGAGTACGTTTTTTATTTGTTGTACAAATATGTTATTTTCTGAAAAACGATGATTTGAGGCAAGATGGGGCCTTTGATACAGGGAATGATGGGGTACCCCATTATTCCCTGCATCGTGATTATTCACATGAGGTTAAGCAACGTCAGCGTTCTCTGTTATAATTTAATTCAAATAAATCTCGTTACTTTTAGCCCGGATTTGAAAAATGGTTAGAACTTATAAAAAAAAAAAAAAAACTAGAAGAGGAGAATGGTCTACAGAAAACATGAAAGAAGCTGTGAGCAAAGTTTTGAGTAAGAAAATGGTCTACAAAAAAGCTGCTCAAGAATATTTCGTCCCACAGACCACGTTGGAACATTATATAACAAGATTAAGGCATTAAGATGAAGTAACCATAGGATTATCTTTATGGCCAATCAAGACTGTATTTTCCCATATAGAAAAAGAAGAACTGGTGGGATATCTTAAAGATATGGAAAAGCGCTTGTTTGGTTTAAATACTACTGATTTAAGAAAAATGGCCTATCAACTGGCCGTAAAGAATAGAAAAAAATGTAATTTTAACACAGATAAGCAAATGGCAAGTATCGATTGGCTAAAGGGTTTTTTAAAGCGTCATCTCGATTTATCTATTCGAAAATCTGAAGCCATATCAGCAGCTCGGGCAATGGGATTTAATAAAGTTTCTGTCTCCAAATTTTATGAATTGTTAGGGAGCATATATGACAAATATAAATTAACTCCTGACAAAATATATAACTGCAATGAAACTGAAATATCGAACGTTTCGAAAACGAAGTGCAAAATAATAGCACAAAAAGGAAGAAAACGGGTAGGGGCATTGTCTTCTGCGGAACGCGGTCAGACTGTAACTGTTGAAATTTGTTTTAATGCATCTGGTGCTTATATGCCTCCGCTTATGATATTCCCCAGACAAAGGATGAAACCTGAATTATTAGACCATGCTCCACCAGGAACTACTGCCGAGTTCAATGCTCGAGACTGGATGACCACTGAAGTATTTTTGATTTGGCTCAAGTGGTTCATACAATTCTCAGGAGCGTCATCTACAAATCATGTATTACTTCTACTGGATGGACATGCAACGCATACAAAATCTTTAGAAGTGATAGAATTTGCTTTCCTCCACACTACACCCACAGACTTCAGCCTTTGGATGTATCCTTTATGATACCCTTAAGCATATACTATGACCACGCTGCTTCTAATTGGTTAAGATCGCATCCAGGTCGAATAATTACTATGTTTCAAATAAGCGAAATATTTAATGAAGCATATGTTCAAGCAGCAACTATGTTAACAGCTATTAATAGATTTAGAAAATGCGAAATTTGGCCATTTGATCCAAACCTTTTTGTAGATTCCGGTTTTATTGCTGCAGAAACGACAAATATATCGATTGTTGCAGAATCTGATACCACTTCAAGTCAGGAAAATGCCCCACCTGTTTTCAATCCCAAACCATGTTCAAGCAGCTTGATAGACAAAAGTAGTGCAGCTGTAATCTCATCACCTGTTGAAACTGCTTGTCGCGATCTGACATCTAGTTTTGAAAATGTTTCTCCTAAAAACATCTTAGCAATACCTGCAATTCAACGAAAAGAGGCCAAAAAGGACTACCGCCGTGGAAAAACTTCAATTCTTACTTCGAATCCATATAAAAAAGAACTGGAGGATGTAAAACGTTTAGAAAATAAGAAATGTTCTAATCCGAATGATCCTCGATTAAAGAAGAATGCAAAAAAGCAGAAGAAAAAAATAACAAAATCTACAAAATCAACGGAAGAATTCATATCTACAATCAACAGAAGGTTGGGTTGCATGCCAACTTTGTGGACGTTGGTCTCATAATTCCTGTGCAGGAGTTAATGAAAACAATCCCGAAGAAATACATATTTGTATCAATTGTGCGAGTATCTAGACAAACCATCTTGCCATCGGTACCCCGTTTTACTCCGTAGTAGGGGCAAGACGGTTTTCCTTCGTTTCTTTTTTAAAAGTTCAATAACTTAGAAGTCTGATCTTCTATTGTCCGAAACATGTACCACATACTAGTTCAACTTATATCGAGTTTAGTCTCATTTTAATCAGAACAATCTCATCAATATGTTAATAACTTTTTCATATAGAAAAAAATAAAAATAAGAACGCTGCTGTTTAAATCGCTCGGTTGCCTCAACCCTCATTTCATCCGTATCTTTTATTCATTGTTCTTGTTCGGCAAGCTTCAAAAACGAGCAGCGACCCTCAAAAACCGTGTCTCCTCTACCCAAACTGGCGCCTCTCGGTTCCGATTAAAGCGACAATATAAGAGATATTACTATACTGTTCATAACTAGTAAGTTGATAGACGGAAGGAATGCAGGTCTCATTGGTTGTGTAATCAGGACAGAGGGTACACCGCCGCTTCGTGGCAGTGGGTACGGTCGATGGCCCTTTATTATTTTATTTTTATACTTTTATTTTTATGTTTTTTCAACTGTTTGAAGAAAATAAAAATATAATCACTCATTTATCGTGAACTATCTACATCTATATACCGGGTGTCCCGTAAAGGGTGTAACACCCGAAAATAGGGGGTTGCTGAGATGACTCTGAACAACTTTTTCCTTGACCAAAATGTTGGTTGTCGCTTCGTGTTTGAATTATTAATGAAAAACACTGTTTAGTTCAGTTTTTCTTCTATCAACCGTCGAGATGTACCCGCCAAACCAATGCCGTAGGGCCAGTTAACGCATAAAACGATTGTATTTTCCGGACGAATTGTACTCCTACCATCACACTTATGTATATCTTAATAAATTGAGGTGAAAACAGTGTAACAGCGTTTCCTCACCCACCTCAGTGTCATAAATTACACTATTATCCATACCGTATTGTAAACGAGAAAGTTTGGCTATTTTGCGATTACGATGTAGCGACGATTTATTTTTTACAATATCGTCGAAAACAGTAAAAGTGGCTGTGGAGTGAAGTGAGTTCACCGACCCAGCCGTAACATCAGCTGTTGAGGGTTGCCTTGAAAGGTCAGGATCGGCACAATGACCCACTTCCGTCGAAGCAGGTTAATTCGTGGACGAATGGGTAAGTTTTTCATAAGCAATAAAACACTTTATTCCTTTCAGATAACGAATAAAAGTATCGAAAACAGTTATTAATTTCTCACAATTAGTAAAAGCATTTAATTTGAATAAATGGTAGTATTTGTAAAATTTTCACCTAATGCATCACACAGCATGTTTAAATAGTTCTATTTCTAACTATTGACATATTATTTATGCATATTGCAATGTGTTGTATTAGAATAAAAAATTCTTTTCGGCATCGTGGACAAGTTACGTAGAATTGGTCCGGCATTCAACGTGTTAAACGATTTATTAGTTTATTTGTTATTCATGAATAACGAATAATTCCAGATTATTCTTAACATTTGCCGCACGCTTCCCTCGATACCCACGCTGTGCCAATGCGTTTGTTCACGATCGCGCACGGATGAGAGTCAGCGCTCCCTATTGGATTATGGGAGTTATTGGTTGTTGAATAATTAATAATCCTCATTTTAAACTATAAACTTTTATTAGACACAAGGAAGGTTCGTTTTTCTACTTGATGGTAAGAGCACTGTATACGGACTGAGAATGCTCCTACGCAATGCTCTAATATTGTCTACGACCCCGCTTGGGACCGAAGGGCCTTTTGTCACGTATCATAAACATTTAGATCTTTACTAAACAGAGGTGGCAAGGCTAAACGGATTTCTCCGAACGTATACAAAAGTAATATATACTTCCTAGTAAGGTGTTAGATTAATTTTTGTTATATCTAACTGACTGATAAATCTAACACTCCCGTGGTTGACCGCGGGCTCTATGCGCGGTCTGATTGGCCAGTGTTTTTCTTTAATAATTCAAAAATGAAGCTTCAAACAACAAAGGAAAAAGTTGTTCAGAGTCACCCCAGCAACCCCCCATTTCCGGGTGTTCGAGGAGTTACGGGACACCCTGTATATGATGTATAGGATTGGTTCTATTTAGTAGGTACGCTGCCTTGGGGAACGCCCACTTCTATTGGATACAGAGTTTATTTTATACACATAATAGTCCGGGATACTAGATGGTACCCAATGCTTGGCTTACATCTAGGAATGCGGCTGAGCAATATTTTTTTCTTCCAGACTAGTTCTAATTATTTTGCTACGCGATGTTCGATCTGCATATCGATCCGTTTCAAATATTTCTCTGCAACAGGGAATATTAATACAAATGCAATCAATATTAGAATGACGTTTTAATTTCTGTAATATTAAATTTACAAAAGTGAAAGTATTACAGAGGTATTTGAATTGTGTTCCGGTCAGTTCATTTTTATTTTTATACCATAATCAGAGTTTCAGTAGAAATTCCGTAAAACCGGAACACATTTTAACTACTGTTATTAAATTCTGATGTTGGTTGAATTTATTCTAATGTCCTCTACAATTCTATGAAAATACAAATTGGGTAAATTTATTTAATCTGATCTTAATTTGTTGTTAAAAGAAGTATTCGGAAATGTTTCTTACTGTTTTATGTTCAATACGATTCATTCTTGTCACATTACTGCAAATGGCTAAAACATCGTATGCGTCGCTCAAGCGTACACATTCTATGCAATAAAATTATAAAAAATTTGTCAACAAAATCGATGAATGGTAACAAGCTTTCTAAAACTTGCTAAACCTTGAATATTTTATGTAGGAATCTTAAAAGACCATTACACGTATGTTAGATTTTGTTGCACAAATAGATAAGTGTTTTCATTGGATAAAGTCGCTTAAGTTTTGTTACCTTTTACGTCTCATCAATTAGTGTCTCATCTTTCGTCTTTCAATTTTACTGGTATTTGCGAGGACAATACAGAACTCTTTGTCATTATCTGCGTTTGAATGTTTAGTTCCTGAAAGATTCATTACATTTAATAAGTACAAAAATTTATGTAAACAACTTTTGATAATCATATGTTAGCGACAACGTATTTTTCTGTCACGGTATTTTTATGGTATTTTTTGTCATTGAAACGGCCAATACTGCTACATTTTGCATAAATTGGTACACCTTATTTGTGTTTATCATAATAATGTATAGTGTATTTAATGAAAATAGATAGGTGATATCATGTTTACAATTTTACACGGTAATAATTTTGTTACATGAAGTATGAAACTAATATTTCGTCAATTTGCCTTTGTTGTCTGTTATTGCTTTTATTCTCTTTGACATAGGGAAGACCGGAGTCGAAAGTAACAATTTGACTTTGGACTACGTTTACGCAAAAACTATTACATTTACAATAATAGTTTTTATACCAAAATCCTACATAGCTATCTGATATTTTTGAGTCACAGCAGTTTCGCTTTATGACAAGTAATGTCCAAGTTATTAATACGAAATGGAGACCGGAGAAAGTATTACAACCGTTCCATAACCCAAGGCGGTCGTAACACAGCATAAGGTCCATAGTGTAGGGTGCAGGTGCACTCTGGTACGGGTGCACCTAACATGGGCAGAGGCTAAGGACCCGGTCGGTGTTGTTACATATGTCGTTATCGCAACCGAATGTTTATTTCCGCATCGCGACCGATCCGCGTTTATAAAAAATGCGCATTGAAATGAAATATTTTACAGAATGTCATTTTTCGACTTCTAAATTCATCCCTTCAAATTTTATCAAAATCCTCGGGGGACAGGTATGTAGTCTCCCTGATAAGTGCTTTGCACATCAATATTTCTCAAATTTTTCATTTCGCTGAAAAGTTACAAAATGAAATTACAAAATAATTAAAAATAAAATGTAACACCGACACACAGTGTTTTGACCAATGGACAAAAATCAGAAATTCAAAGTGTAAAATCTAAAAATTTTTTCATTTTAAGATGTTAATAACAAACCATAGTTTGTAATATTGCCTATAATTTTGACTGAATACGTCCATTTGTTGTTAA